GACTGGAGGGGAGGAAGCAGACTGCTTATGAAAGAAAGAAGTAATCAAAGGCCCAAGAAGGAAGTTTGTCTAGAAAAGTAAGGACTAACACAAGAGGAGGAAATAAAGGAAGGGGTGAAATTAACTATGTAAACCTCTCTGAAAGCTTTCCCCAAACATTTGGAAGCCTCGCTCACCAGCACACTTTCCTCCCTTGAGTTTGCACCCCCTTTTCCATCTTTTTCCCTCATATCTCCTCTGCATCCTGTCCCTCTTTTCCTGTTACCTGTTCCAAAAAGATCATTTCCACCAGTTTGTGGTTCTTTTCCAGCACGGCTAAACGTGCTCAGACCTGATAAAAGTCTGTCCCTTCTCCGCCCTGTGGGGAAAAAGGAGGTTCTGGTTTTTCTGTAGTTGCTGCTGTTCTGTCTGTGAGGGCTGAGATTAGAAGGCCAGATGGATGTAGAAAATAAAAGACCTTACGAATCAACAGGAAGTTAAAAACAAAAAAAAAAAAAGAAAGAAAATATTTGGGAAGGTAAAACTCTTCATGGAGCTTAAAGGTTTGAGGTTTAGCGATTCTGAAATGGTCTGTCTGGTGGGTAGAGGTGGGGTGGGCAGGGTAAAGGAAACTAGGGATGGCTGGAAAGCTAGGAATCATGGGGCTGAATACTACGAGAAATCAGTTTGGGAGATGGAATGAATCAGGAGCATAATACTTGCATATTCCTGGGATACTCGATCTGCAATCTCATTGGTCTCATGCAGGAATCGAGCTTTTGCTACTTGGCCCAAAGCAGAAAAGCACCTACAGCATGGAAGCAAAGACATTAATATTATTACAGAATCGTCATTAATTCATTGGTTCAGCAAATACAAATTGATGTGCATCTATGATGTGCCAGGCAGTGTGCTTGTCACTGGAGAAACATAGGAGAAAAGGGATGTTGAGGGCTTTGCTCTCAAAGAACGTGCATTCTAGTGGAGACAAGTAATTAGTAAAAGTGGAGATAATAAAAAATAAAATCATGTAATATTATAGATCAAGCATGTTCAACCCATGGCCCGAGGTGGCTTTGAATGTGGCCCAACACAAATTCCTAAACCTCATGAGATTTTTTTTTATTCTTTCTTTTCCTTTTTTTAAGCTCATCAGCTATCATTAGTGTTAGTGTATTTTATGTGTGGCCCAAGATGATAATTCTTCCAATGTGGGCCAGGGAAGCCAAAAGATTGGACGCCCCTGTTATAGTGACTGATCCGGCTCCTTATTTGGTAGTTGGAGAAGGTCTCTCTGATGAACTGACATTTGAGCTGAGATCTGAATACAAGAAAAAGCCAGTCGTGGCAGGATGGGGAAAAGTCATTCCTGAGAGGGAACAGCTAGTGTAAAGGCCCTATTATAGCAGCTATGAGCTTGGCACGCTCACAGATCCTGAAGGAGGCCAGTGTGGTTGGAGACTAATGGGCAAGTAGGGGACTGGCATGAGAAGGAAGCAAAGGCCAAAAACCTTCAGGGCTAAGGCCACACAAGGAGTTTGGATTTTATACCAAGTAAAAGAGTAAGCTAGTGGAAGGTTCCAGTCATGAAAAAGACACAATCTATGTTTAAAAAAATTACCTCAGCTGCTCTGAAATGAGCAGATAGTAGGGGTACAAGAAACAGTATCAGTAAGACTAATAGGCTGTGCAATATTGCAGGTGGGCGAGGGCAGTGGTCTGCACTAGGATGGAGACATCAGGATGTTTTGAAGAGAGTTCTACACCTCACCTCTCCGCAATGTGTAGTTGCCTTGCCTCTAGCGCCAGTGACTCAAGGCTTTCCACATTGCCTCTGTTTCTGGGGTCATTTCCAGAGTCTCTAAGAAGGCTGTTGCCCTGGAAAGGGAAGGAAGCAAAGCAAAAGGAATGAGGGATGAGTCAGGAAGACGCAGCAGAAGACTGATGATGGGGCAAGGGAAGGGGGAAGGGCCATGTTTGTCTCATCTCCTCCCAGGATCACTGGATCCTTAACAGTTTTGGCCAGTTTTACACCCCACCCCAGGTCCTCCCCTCTCAGAACCAGACTCTCCCACTACCTCACTGGTTATAGTCCAGCCTCTCACCGGGTGTAATTGCCATCATCAATGGCTGTTCCAAACTCGATGAGGCCTTCATCCAGTGTGTAGGCAACAGTAGTCACACCTTCCATCACCATCACCTCGGTCTTTCCCCCGCCCCGCTCCAGACCTATAACATCACCTGTAAAAGTTCATCCCCCACCCCACCCCAATTTCAGGTTAGTTTCCACTGAATCAATTGTAGAACAGACCCACCCTCATCCAACCCAGTGCTCAAGAGTCACAGCAGACCTGATTTTCCTAACATTTTAGTCTCTCTCAAGCATAAAAAAAATACTTTATTTGTAGCAATATCCTTGGGTTAAAGTATAGTCCTAACCGTGACAGCACCAATTCCTAGAGGTACAAAGTGTGGCATCCACTTCTGCTTCCAGCAGTACCATAAGAGTAGATATTCTTAAGGGTTCTCTTGTTAAAATACAACTTGAACCTGGACATGCTTTTTAATGCATTGCTTGGGCTTACTTGAAGAAATCACTAAGAATGTTCCCTACCCATATCCTACCCTTCTCTCTCAAAAAAAGACAGAAAAAAAAAAGGTCAATAAGCGAAATCCTGAGCAAGAAAAACAGGAAAGTGAGCAAATGGGAAAGGTACAGTTGTCCTGAACACAAACGGAGTGTCAGGAGAATAAACCCCAGGCCCTCCAGCAGGATGGGGAGGCCGAATTTGAGAATCCTTAACTAAACCTGGGACCCACTCTTTAGTAAAGGCAACAAAAGTAACGGTCACAGATCATTAATATGCCTGATTCCTGCAGAAGCAAGACTAGATCAGCACTGGAGGAGATCATATCCATCTTAGGCCCTCAGGATTCCAAAAGAATACATTCAAAGTAACTTGAGCTCACAATAAAAAAAAAAATACAAGGAAACAAACCACTAGGAAAGGATAAGTAATAACTATAAACAACAATTTTAGACCTTCAAGAATCTCTGATATTAAAAATAACAGTTAAAGGCTGGGCTTGGTGGCTCATACCTATAATCCCAGCACTTTGCGAGACCAAGGTGGGAGGATCACCCGAGCTCAGGAGTTCAAGACCAGCCTGGGCAACAAAACGAGACCTCATCTCTACTGAAGAAAAAAAAAAAAAAAAAGGGAATTAGCCAGGTGTGGTTGCATGTACTGGTATTCCCAGCTGCTCAGGAGGCTGAGGTGAGAGGATCATTTGAGCCCAGGAGTTTGAGCCTGCAGTGAGCTGTGATCATGCCACTGCACAGCCTGGATGACAGAGTGAGACCCTGTTTTTTGTTTTGTTTTGTTTTAAAAAGCCTAGTTATGGAATGTAAAATGATTATTTATGAAATACCTAAATATCTTAAAAGATGAAATGAAAAATTAAGCAACGAATAAGAAATTATCCATATGGCCTGACAGACTGGAGAAATCAAATAAAGAAAAATTTAATGTTTGAGGTAAAAAACTCAATGAACAATTTAAATAGCAGATTAGACAATGATGAAAAGCAAATCAATGAATCAAAACAGATCTAAAGAAATTACCCAGAGGCCAGATGCAGTGGCTCATGGCTGTAATCCCAGTACTTTGGGAGGCTGAGGCGGGAAGATTGCTTGAGCCCAGGAGTTTTGGACCAGCCTGGGAAACATACTGAGAATATATATTTACAGAAAATTGGGCTGGATAAAAAAGCTGGGCGTGGTATCATACACCTGTAGTCCCAGATACTCGGGAGGCTGAGATAGGAGGATCGCTTGAGCCCGGGAGGTCGAGGCTACAGTGAGCTAAGATCACACCACTGCATTCCAGCATGGGACAACAGAGTGAGACCCTGTCTCCAAAAAAAAGAAAAAAATAATTATCCAGAATAGAGCATGGGGCAGGAAGAAAGAAAGTATGAAAGAGAAGTTAAAAATGTAAAACAAGAAATCTAACATTTGCCTAACTAGAGTTCTGATGAAGAGCCTAGAGAATGGCTGAGGAGAAGCAATGTTCAGAGATAATGACTAAGAAACTTCCAGGAGTGATGAAAATATGTGTATTCATAAACACAGGAGCACAATCTATACTAAGCAGTATAAATGTGAAAATTTTATATCTAGACGCATCGTAGTGAAACTTCAAAACACCTGAGAAAAACAGAATTTTTTTTTTTCTGAGACAGGGTCTCAGTCTTTCACTCAGGCTGGAGCGCAGTGGTACAACTTTGACTCACTGCAACCTCTGCCTCCCATGTTCAAGTGATTCTCATGCCTCAGCCTCCTGAGTAGGTGGGATTACAGATGCGTGCCACCACACTTGGCTAATTTTTGTCATTTTTAGTAGAGACAGGGTTTCTTCATGTTGGCCAGGCTGGTCTCAAACTCCTAGCCTCAAGTGATCCACCTGTATCAGCCTTCCAAAGTGCTGGAATTACAGGCATAAGCCACTGTGCCCAGGCCTAAAAAAGAAGACTTTAAAAGAAACCAAAGAAAAAAAACAGATCAGCTGTACAGAAATGGCTGCTGTTAAATTTCTCACAACAGCAATGGAAGTCAATTAATGAGACAACATTTAACATTTACAAATTAAGAAAAATTAACTGTCAATCTAGAACTGGGTACTGAGTCCAAGCATCTTTTTAGAATAAAGGCTAAATAAAAACATTTTCAGATAATCAAAAACTGAGAATTTACCATCTTTCACTGAAGAAACTTCTAAATAAGTCTGGGTGCGGTGGCTCACGTCTGTACTCCCAGCACTTTGGGAGACTAAGTGGGGGAGGATCACTTGAGGTCAGGAGTTTGAGACCAGCCTGACCAACATGATGAAACCCATCTCTATTAAAAGTACAAAAATTAGCCAGGGGTGGTGGCACATGCCTGTAATCCCTACTACTTGGGAGGCTGAGGTGGGAGAACCACTTTAACCTAGGAGGTAGAGGTTGCAATGAGCCGAGATCGTGCCACTGCACTCCAGCCTGGGCAACAGAGCAAGACCCTGTCTCAAAAAACAGAAACAAAAAACTTCTCAGTAATATTCTCCAAGAATAGGAAAAGTCATTCCAGAGGGAAGATTGGCATTGCAAAAAGAAAAGGTAAACAAAGGAACTGGTACCATGATGGTAAATTGAAATGAAATCTGTCTTATAACCAGGCAGGGCTCAATGGCTCATGCCTGTAATCCCAGCACTATGGGAGGCCAAGGCAGGCGGATCACCTAAGGTCAGGTGTTCAAGACCAGCCTGGCCAACATGGCAAAACCCTGTCTCTAATAAAAATACAAAAATTGGTCAGGCATAATGGTGGGCACCTGTAACACCAGCTACTTGGGAGGCTGAGGCAGGAAAATCCCTTGAACCTGGAAGGCAGAGGTTGCAGTGAGCCTAGATCACGCCACTGCACCCCGGCCTTGGTGACAGAGAGACTCCGTCTCAAATAAAATAAAATAATCATGCCTAACTTTGGGGACAAAGGATTAGAACCAAAATACTGGTAAACAATGATACAGGGAAAGAGATGAAAGTTAAAGTCTTGCACGTGCACATGAATGTTCATTGCAGCACTGTTTACGATAGCAAAGACCTGGAACCAACCCAAATGCCCATCGACGATAGACTGGATAGGGAAAATGTGGCACATATACACCATGGAATATTATGCAGCCATCAAAAACGATGAGTTTGGGTCCTTTGTAGGGACATGGATGAACCTGGAAACCATCATTCTCAGCAAACTGACAGAAGAGCAGAAGATCAAACACCGCATGTTCTCACTCATAGGCGGTGTTGAACAATGAGAACACATGGACACAGGGAGGGGAGCACTATGCGCTGGGGTCAGTTGGGGGGAAATAGGGGAGGGACGGAGGGGGGTGGGGAGTAGGGGAGAGATAGCAAGGGGAGAGATGCCGGATGTAGGTGATGGGGAGGAAGGCAGCAAATCACACTGCCACATGTGTACCTATGCAACAATCTTGCATGTTCTTCACATGTACCCCAAAACCTAAAATGCAATAAAATAAATAAATGGGGAAAAAAAAAAAAAAGAAAGTTAAAGTCTTGGCTGGGTGTAGTGGCTCACGTCTGTAATGCCAGCACTTTGGGAGGCTGAGGTGGGGGGATCACAAAGTCAGGGGTTCGAGACCAGCCTGGCCAACATGGTGAAACCCTGTCTCTACTTAAAAATACAAAAATTAGCCGGGTGTGGTGGCGTGTACGTGTAATTCCAGCTATTCAGGAGGCTGAGGGAGAAGAATTGCTTGAACCCAGGAGGCGGAGGTTGCGGTGAGCCAACAGCGCGCCATTGCACTCCAGCCTGGGTGACAGAGCGAGACTCCATCTCAAAAACAAACAAACAAAAAAAAAAATCTGCAATGCAAATAACCACCAAAGTCTATACAAGCATATGCAAAGAACTCCTTCAAATCAATAAGGAAGACACACTCTGATTTTAAAAATGGGTAAGAGATAGGAACTAGCAATATAAATGTTCAATGAATATTACATATGAAATTAATATAATGAGATACAATTTTATGTATATCATGTTTAAGCCAAATTATGAACTCAGGCAATTTCAAGTATTACAGAGGATGTCAGACAATAGAAACTCTAACTGCTGGTGGGAATATAAATTGGTATAACTTCTTTGGAGAAAAATGTTTTGGAAATATTTAGTGAAGTTGAAGACACAGCTCCTCTATGATTTAGCATTTCCATTCTAGATATGGAGCTTGGAGAACTGAATCACTGTAAGAGTGAAAAATCAGCAACTTAAATGCCCATCAATAAGAGATAAGATATAAAATGATTCAAGGTAAATATAACAAAATGTCAGGATTTGACAGAACTGGGTATGGATAAACAAGTGTTACTATCATTTTTTTAAAAATTGATTTTAAGTCGAAAGCTTCATAAATTTGTGTGTCATTCTTGCACAGGGCCATGCTAATCTTCTCTTTATCATTCCAATTTTAATATATGTGCTGCCAAAGCGAACAAAATATCACTATTATTAATAGCTAACACTTATTAAGTGCTTACTATATTCCAGGCATAAGAAGTGTATGCCATAAGAAGTAGGCACTATTTTTATCCCTACTTTGTAGATGAGGAAATTGGGACATAGAAAGATGAAGTAACTTCCTAGGATCACACAGGTAGAGAAGTGGGATGGTATGACTCCAGAGCCCTATTCTTTTATTTTTAACAGAGACAAGGTCTCACCATGTTGCCTAGACTGGTCTCAAACTCCTGAGCTCAAGCAATCTGCCCGCCTCAGCCTCCCGAAGCGCTGGGATTACAGGCATGAGCCACTGTGCCTGGCTCAGAGCCCCATTTTCAACAGCTACATTGTATAGGTAATGCTATTCTTCATATTATTTTTATGCTTGAAACATTTCACAATACAAATATTAACATATAAGATTTATAAATGTGAATATTTGTGAAATGCAAATAAAGTTACTATCATTATTAGTTACTAATGATAAACCATACAAAAAATAAGACCTCTTCCAGTTCTAACAGTCAATGATTCTATGAACTCTAAACAGGAAAATTCATAAATTTAATGTGACTTCTCTACTGCTCACAATTTGCTAACCCTAAGATATATGTCTAGAGAACATGAATAATTATATAGAGATTTGGGTTTTTTTTGTTGCTTTCTTTTTGTTTTAAGAGACAGGGCCTTACTCCATCATCTAGGCTGGAGTGCAGTGGCACAATCATAGCTCACTGCAGCCTTGAACTACTGGGCTCAAATGATCCTCCTGCCTTGCCCTTTCAAAGTGCTGGGATTACAAGCACGAGCAATTGCGCCTGGCCTACACCTTTGTGTTTATATCTAGATATCTAGGTACAGATGTACACATATCAACTTAAACATTTCATATATACACTGTATGTGTGGGGTTACTATTTACCTGATGCTTCTCAGATTCCTGCATTCCCAGCTGAACACAATCCTGTGGTATAAAAGTGTGATATAAACATCTATTTTGTTATTAAAATTATGAGAGAGTCTCACTCACCTATAGCAACAGTCTTAATACCAACAAAATAAGTCAATTTCTTATGA